TCTGGTTTTCCAATAGAACCTTAACTTTTGCCTATTTTCCTCAACCCCACCCACAGATATGAGACTTACCGTTTCATTCAGTGGGTGAAAATTGATATCCACAGAGACAATGCGGAATCTCACTGAAATACAGAGATTTTTTCCCCATGAAAACCCCAATGGGAACCCAGGCTAGAAGTCCTATGATTATTGAATCACATAGTCAAAAATATGTACTTTCCCCCCAAGGTGGTCTTTGCTCTTTTGGCTCCTTATACCTGTTTGTCCTGGCTTGTATATGGGTTTGTCTGTCTGGACAAAGACCAGGCTCTCTGCTTCCCTTACGTAGATTGTCTTCCTGCTTATGAAATGCTGGGTTGTCCCATTTATCAGCACGGTAATGAACGCTGGGAAAGATGACAACTCTGGAATCTGCAAAACAGAAATGAGTGAAGAATCTACCCAGATTCACTTCTGAAAGCTTTGGCCTTCATGATTTTCTGTTTTCCTGGTAAGTCCCTGAGAATTAGTAAGGAACAAGGTTAAGGTATACATTTCTTGTCTTATAAGTAGATTATTGCAATTGTGTAACATGACACTAACAATTCATTGATTTGGTTGACAAGGAAAATATCACTTCGATAAAATGAACTAACTCTTTAATCCAGTCATGTTAGTGAAAAAGGTGACATTTTCTCATTTTCATGGCTATATGGTGGTATTAAAATAAGCATTATATTTTATTTTCCAAATGTCAATAACAAATTTATCTTATCGTTTGTAGTAAGTTAGTAGGATTAAAGATTTAAAACTTTAAGTGATAAAAGTCTATGTGAAATAAATCAACAATCAACCACCTGTGAGATCTTAGATAAGTGTCTTGACTTTAAGAATTTCAGTATTTATACCAATAATGTTAAGAGTATATTTACATCACAAGTGTATTTTAAGATCAAATGAAATCCTATAGCTACTACTACCTTTCAAATACTGCATTTGATCTGTTTGTGTTGTGTAAGCATATTCAGTACACTTTTATTCTTAGATTCTCATTTGTAACTTACTCCGTACTCTTCATTTTCCTTCATTATGCTGTTTTTTTTTCTTTTTTTAAGTTTGAGGGATGAGAACATAAGGTCTCAACTAAACACTTTCTCTAGCCACTTCCCTCATCCCAGTGGTTGATACTAACAGTGAAGGGGCTGCAGTGGAAGGAGTTCCTATCTGTCACCAGCTCTGTAAGGAGGTTCCTGCTCTGTGTTCCATACTCCAGATTCACATTCAGTGTCATCGTCTCATTCAGGTGATTAAGGATGATACAGGCCTTTTCAGGAACTCCAGCATAGAGCTGTGATGGTACCAGAACCATGTATTGCCTGTGGAGAAAAGGATCAAACAGAGAGAGGTTCAAAAGATGTCAAAATTATTACCATTTTCTAGAAAATCTTCTCTATCATCACCAATCATAGCATAGAGCCAGATTTCAGATTTTAACCAGATTTCATGTTGCTCAAAGGCCAACATAAAAGACCATGGGAATTCAGAAAACATCAAATTAAAATTGCTATGCATCTTTTGCGTTTTAGAAACCTCTACCCTTGGAATATTAGAAAACTATGGGAAAGGAATCTAAGAGTTATCACATATGTTGGATAGAAATTCCAAATTTACATGAATTAATCAACAAGGCACCTTTGAAGGTATTAAGATCCTGTATGTATGTGATCTTGAGTTCCAAGTGACTACCACAAAGCACTTTGTTCCAGAAAAATTCTAGAAAAATAACATTTAACACACGGGAGACACTAAATTGTTTTTGCTTCCGTTTAAGAAGCAATCTTATTTCTTTCCTTTCTTTCACTCTGTGGTGATGAGAGCTGAACCAATCTAAGCAAGGCTCATCAGCAGACCCAACTAGTTACTCCCAGAAGAAAAGGCCATTCCCCTGTAGCCATTTACCTTTCCACTTATAATCACTCAAATATGCACTTCATGATGTTGTATGTTTGCTCACTTTTCTCTCTTTCTGAGTGTCTTCGTGTATCTGTAAAACTTAAATTAGCTTCCTAAGTCTCAAAACCAGTTTCTTCTATGCAGAATTTGGGGATGGCCCTTTTCTTACAGCAGGTCCCTTGAAGAGTTAGGGTTTCTTGGCAGTATTCTCCTAAAATCCTGCAGTGCCTGCTCCTGTTTTGGGGTGGCTATATTTCATTTTCTGTATTCCATCTCTCTCCTTTTCTCTTCTCTGAGGTACTGAGGAAAAGATCTAAATTTTTTTTAATCTGTGTATTCCCCAAGCCTAATGCCAGACATTAAAATTTGCTGAAGGATTAAGTGAATTGACACACAAATCCTGGCTTGTCTGTATGTAGGTCCCTCCATCCATCTTGGCAACCCCTTACATGGGGGAAAACACAGACACAGAGCTACTTCACAATGGCCAGAACACTGCTGTCTG